ACGGTGTTGTACAGGAGAGATTTGGTATCAAGTGGGTGGTGGGTGATGTCGGGGACGGAGGGACTTTGTATCGGCGAGGAGGGAGGTCAAAGTTGGCCCTACTGCCTCTTAGACGCCAGCATGTCTTGCAGATCGGCCTTGCTCGTGCCCTTGGAGTTGTCGGCGAAGGTGGTGGTCACGTCCATCTTGATGGCGTTCTCGGCCTCGAGCTGTGCTATCCGCTCCTTCTTGGCAATATCGGCTACGCGCCATTGCTTGAAGTATTTGACCTGTGTCATGAAGCATTCAAGTCAGCGAGAGGACTTTTGGAGGCAGAAGGACATTCCGGGGAGGAAGATAGTCCCGCGATGTGAGGAGAGGCAAGAGAGAGGAGGACTCACCCACGCAGCGGCACAATCCCGCTCAAAGTCGGCGTTCTGCGTCGGGCACGCCTTGCGGGCCTGGCGGTCGTCCTTGAGGGCGTCGACGATGTTGTTGGCGTCGAGACAGCCGAAGTAGGCGTCGCGGGCGTCCCAGCACTTGCGGCGCTCGCTGCGTTTCGGGGCGACGGCGCCGGAGCGGACTTCCTCTGCGCGGCGGTCCTCGTCCGACTTTGTGGAGAAGAAGCCCATTGTTTCGTTCTCTATCGGCTGTTTCAAGGTGGACGATATTCTCGGTGTTCGATTTCGAATTCGGAGACGGAGGGGTTCGCGGGGGTTGAGTGGTTTGGGTGTTGGAGTGGCGACCGGCGTTTCTTTGGTGATGTCGGCGCGGATGGAGGGGCAGAATTCTCCCGGGCGGGCGGTGAGTGCGGACGGCAGCGTAATGCGAATTGTGAGGTCTGGTAGTGGGGGCCGTTGCTTCCGCGCCTGTTCAGCCTCAGCCTTGTCCCCTTTGGGCGCTAGCGCCGGCTTCGACTGTGGCTTCGACGATCCCCTGACGTGGCAGGTACTTGCTTGGAACCTTGGAAGCTTTCCTTGCTGCTACGGTTTCCAGAAGCTCGGGCGCGCTGTGGCGCAAACTGGACACACCTTCCATCCCGCTGACGCTGCCGCTGGCTTGCTTCGCATACCTCTCGGGGTCCGGCGGGCCGTTTTTTCTTTACCTGTCTACATTCAACCAACTTTTACACTTCTTTGTTGCTATAGACTGGGGTTTAGACTCTTCTTTGATTACCGTTCCAAATCAGGGAGCAAGGGCGCAAAAACGCAAAAAGACAATAGGCCGCCCTTTTTTTTTTGATATGCGACGCCGGTAGCGAGATTCGGAGCGCCGTTGGCCCATCTTAAACTACCCGTTCCCCCCGGCTTGCCCATCCCTGGGGAACGAACGACACCCACGAAAGGCAACCGTCTTCCTTTTCCCACGAACAACGAACAAGACACGCATACGCCGTACCGCAAGCTTGACATAACTTTCGCGAGAAACGAGATCGAATACACACACGCACCCGAGCCGAGGCCTCCACCGTCACCGAGACAGAAACGATGCCCCGCCGTCGCAAGCCGCCCCGGCCAGGCGCCCTCGGCGAGCTCCCGCCGCTCCGCATCGCGTCGCAGATCGCGGCGCTGCAGGGGCTGTACTACGCCGGCGCGCTGGTGCTCATGCTCTTCACGGCGCTGGTGGCCGGCACGCGGTTCAGCATGGAGCTGGTGTTTGGGTGGGAGGCCGTGAGGGGGGACACGACGCAGGGCTGGCTGAGCGCGTTTGTGTGGGTTCTCGACGGGGGGCTCTGCATGTGAGTTTTGCCTTCGCTTCTGGGGTTTCCGGGAAGGGAGCAGATATGCGTGCGGATTTTGGCTGACTTAGGATCACAGGGCCGTCGCAATCATCGTCCTGATCGGCCGCTCCAAGCTCGTGCCGGACTTCGCGCTCACCATGCACGGGCTGCACCTCGTCGTCTCGTCGCTGTACACGGGCCGCGTGCCGCGGAACATGATGTGGTGGGGCGCGATGGCGAGTAGTTCGGCGATATGCGTTGCGCTGGCGGTTTGGGGGTCGCGGTACCGCGAGCTGAGGCCGATTTCGTTCGGCGGGCATGCTGCGGGTGCGGCGGCGGGCGGAGGAGGTGTGGAGGGGCAGCAGAATGGGGCTGCTGGAGGGGACGAGGAGGAGGGTGTTGGGTTTGGGCGGGGGAGAGGGAGGGGGAGGGGGCGTGATGGGGAGGGGGGGTATGAGATGGTTGGTATTGAGAGGAGAGATTCATGATGATGGGTGTGGTGAGAGGGCATGATGGCGTTTTTGGGGTTTCTGTATGATTATTGTATGTTGTGGCGATGATGAATAGACCCTTTCTTGTGGTTCGAGTCTCTGATGGGTGGTGTGGGAAGTTGGCTTGGGGCTCGGCGGGATGTCCTAACGAAGTTTTGGAACGTCTGCTCTCTTGTTCAAGGGGCGTGGATGTCTGCGGCTATGGACGGTGGGTTGCTGAAGTCTTTTTCAAGACTCTTCACCTGCGGAGAATATGGGTGCGCTGAACTCTTCAGGAGGCCGAGGACATTCACTTCTTGCTGACTTGTTCGTCTACAATCCTCCCGTTAAGGTGGTTTGTGGGAACTTCAAGCCAGAGGTGTCAGCATCCCTGGGACACCTTGGTGTCAGAGACCACCGCCGTGGACAAAGGTCAAGGTCATATTCAGGATACATGTTCGGATGGGTTGCTTAGCCAAGTAGCCGGACCAGTTCGTCAACCGCTCTTAAAAGACCGATCTGAGTTCCGCCTCAGCTCCGACCAAGAACATCATGTACTGACTCTGCAGATTCACTCTGACATAAGTCGGACACATGGGAAATCAGTACGTTGCCTCGCTCTCCTGATGAGGCTGTCCAATATTCCTACGTCTGCACAGCTGGGTTTCCCACATACCTGCTTACTTCGATCGAGGATGACGGTGGTGGATATCATGGTAGCATGGATGAGGATAATAGAAGTGATCAAGGATAAAGGCGACGAAGACGACAATGAAGACGATGGAGATGACACCTAAGACGAGGACGACAGCTAGGTAGCGTATCATTTAGTGAGCCTGTAGAGAAAGTACTCACTCTAAGACAGGAAGCACATACGATCTTATCTTGATGGGATTTGCACATAAAGGGAGATGATGGAGGAGAAACGCTACTTTAGTCCATGACGACCAAAGCCTCAAAAAGTAGGAATCAACTTTCATCTACCGAGCTATGCAAGTCCTTTGGATCAGTAGATCATGAATTCCCTTTCTCTCAGGCACCGAAGCAATTTGTATTGCGTTCTTGCCGTCAAATCTTTTGGCTTCAACATTGGCCCCGCAATGCAGTAACTTATCGACGATGCTTTCGTGACCAAGACGAACTGCCAGGAGCAGCGGTGTTTGTCCGAATTTATCTTCCCTCCCTTCTATGTCGGCCTTGCACAGGAGCAGTGCATCGACCACGTCCTTGTGGCCGGCCATGCCTGGTAGCAACCAGCAATGGTGTTTGGCCAAATGCTTCTTTCGCCTATATATCCCCGCGAGATGAAGATTCGCAAAGACGACGAGTTATAAAGCCGTGTCCATGGTATGCGGCGATCAGTAACGGACCGTAACATCCTTTCGCCGTGGATGTAAAATCCGCCCCGTGAGACTCCAATTGGTCCATTATGAAATCATCCCCATTCGAGATGGCAAGGAGCAGCGAATCCCAATCATCTACATCTTTTGCTTGGACATCAGCCCCTGAATCGAGCAAAATATCAACCACTCGCCATTTCCCATTGGCCACAGCATGGAGTAACGGCGTCCACCCCTGTTTGTCTCTTGTATCAACAACAGCGCCTTGCTCAAGAAGATTTCGGACGATGTCGTTGTATCCCATCATTGCGGCAATCGAGGGTGCACTGGTGAAGGTATCGTCCACATCTTCAGCCGAAGCACCGTTCTTAAGTAATTCGTTGACGGTACGGCTACGACCACTCATCGTGGCTCGCAATAGCGGCGTCCATCCCGTGTAGTCTCGGCCGTCTACTTTGGCTCCCAACCAAGTAACTCAAGCGCAATCAATGGGGATTTGCCTCCGGCAGCCATATGTAGTGTTGACATTCGCCGGTTGTCTACTACATTGACGTCGACTCCATGCTCCAGAAGCGAATCAACCATGTCGTAGTGGCCATGCATGGCAGCTAGATGTAGCGGTGTCCCTCCTTGTATGTCCCTTGCATTGACGTCAGATCCGCGACCGATCAGTTGCATAGACAAAGTAAGATGGCCGTTTTCCAAGGCATACATCAACGGCGTGCGATGATGGCTGTCTCTCAGATCTGGAGTGCTATTCTGCAACAGGAATGTTGCGGCTTCGATCAAACCAAAGTAGGCTGCTAGATGTAGACCACTTATCCTTTTGGGGGCATGCCCCCTTGGGAACAGCGGCAGCATGAGCGCTTTGCCGGCTGACTGGACCGCAGATTCTGCGGACAGAAAAGTTGTCACTTTTGAGGCGATGATTGAACCCGCGCGAGCATAGTGGCCCCAGTTCGACGCAGCGTATCTATAAAAGGGGTACGATCGGAGGCGCTCCCGGAACTCGTCTTCAGTTGAGCAGGAGCCGTCGTCGAAGGCCTCAAATGATACACAGTCGAAGCAGAGAGCGGCCAGATTTTCATCTCCAGTCTTCCAACTATCGTCAAGATATTCTTGCAGGAATTTCTTGGCGATATAATGAGAAAGAGAAATGATGTGATTCCAATTATCGATTTCCAGGAGGCCGGCACAGGCTAGAACGATGACGTTGATCTCAGGTCGAACTTCCTCCAAGGGCTTCATGAAGCTTGTGGACAGCGCGTGTTGCAACGGCCAGCAAGTTGTCGAAGAGAAGTTTGAGGGGCAAGTTTCTTACTTCAGCACAGTCATCGCGGTAACACCATACATGATCTTCAATGTGTTAGCAACGATATACGTCAATGGCTTCAGAAAAGAAAAGGGTTCCCAGTGGATTTTCTGGTCGAAAATGATGGGCTGTGGCGTCTCCGACCCCGTCGATCAGTAAATGCGGATTATCACACGTCCATGGAATCCCTCCAGCAGCTCTTAGAGGATGGCATGTCCACATCCAGAGTTAGCAACTACTCGGATAGGGATAAGTTGACGCTCTGCTATATCTTGGCCAACTCGATGCTCTTCCTGTACCTGGGCTCCTGGCTACGTACAGCGTGGAACAGCAACAGGGTCTATTTCATCCAACGAGCAGGTGTTTCGGCCTTGAAACCGGTCACTTTGACGTTCCCCTATTTATCTGTCGAAATACAAGATAAGCAAGATACTACTAGCACGTCAGAACAGCATATGCAAGCCCACTGCCATCCAAGTATCCTAGCACTCGGCATCATATTCCTCGAGATTGCCACAGGTTCCGTGTTCCCCAGGAGTTCTCAAAAACCAGTGGACGCCAGCTATGAGCAGTGCAACGAAGACTTCCTGGAAGCTTGGAAGCAAATGGAGAACCTAGAGAAAGGGCGAAGATACATACCCTCTGCTCTCCGCAAAGTCATCAGGGCTTGCATTGACTTGAAGCCGCCGCCTAACATACCGAGCACCAGTCTGACGGAAGAGGGCCCAATACGCCAGTACATCCTATCATGTATCATTCTTCCACTGGCATCAGAGCTGGTGGATGGTTACAACATTCGCTTAGAGGAGTTACGCACGGCGCTGGAGAAAGAGCTGAAAGGCCTCGAAAAGGTTGAGGAAGCAAGCACCAAAACATCAATCAAGCAGCCGCTGGAAAGTTGTAGCCGCAGTCTGGCAACGGTACCCGAAGGTTCGTATCTTGCAACTAAGTTCCAGCATGCCGGAGTTGACTTATGTTCGCAGTGGAAACAGCGTTGCACGCTCAGGCTGCGAGGGGACATGACCCATGTCTCATGGCAGATGGTGATGAGAGAGAAATAACAGTCAACGAAGAAGCGTAAGTTCCTTAGTCGCTTTGCTTGAGCCGGGCATGCGACTAAAACTCGACATTATTCAGGACCAAGAGAACAAAGGAGTGGTTCGAGTACCACGAAGACGTCCTTTCCCGAGCCAAACAGTTGCGCAACGTCAATATTTCGAACAAAAGAAAAATCAAGATCGCCATATTAGACAGTGGCATAGAGTTGAGTTCAGAACACCGAGAATTGTACACTTCGAGCCGAGGATCAAGTACAAGAGCTGGGTAGACGGACACGCCGACTGCCGAGACGATGTTGGCCACGGGACGCATCTAACCATCCTCCTGCGGAAGGTCGCGCCAAACGCCGAGATTCATACCGCCAGAGTATTCAAAAGCAGGCCTAAAGGCGACAAGTCTGCGCTAATTATTGCTGAGGTACGTGACTCGCCCTGTGTGACTAGATCGGGCAATAGTTAATTGCATTAGGCGCTTCGATATGCCGTCAGCGTCTGGGAAGTCGATATCGTCGTAATGTCCTTTGGTTTCTTTGACAACAATTAAGTTTTATGTCAAGAAATTCAGAACGCGGCTGTAAAAGGCGTGTTGATATTCGCAGCAGCATCGAACGGGGGGAAGAACCGGCCGGATGGCATCGCATGGCCAGCTCGAGAAGAAAACGTCATCTGCGTCCATTCGGCAGATGGATACGGCAACCGTTCCGCGTTCACGCCGAGCCCAATGGACAACATGCGGATCATGGTTCTTGGGGAATGTATCAACTCAGCATGGCCACGAAAGCTGAGGTCGCCGGGCGACCACTGGCAAATGAGTGGTACATCGTGTGCGGCGCCCATAGCTGCTGGAATCGCTGCAGTGGTACTCGACTGCGCAAGAGGCTTCCTCAGTGGCCAGGAGTGGAAGTGCCTTTGCCGGGTGCGTTCCATGAGACGAATGTTTGAAGCGATGAAAGACTCGGGCAACTCAGATGGATATTGGTGGATCAAGCACTGGACTTTGTTTCATGAGGACCGGAAGGATTCTTGGATACAGGAGGGAATCAGAAGCTACATCAGGTAAACCATGTGACAGGTATTACTCATGAAATACCATACAAGACCGCCTAATCTTCTTGTGTCTTCCTAGATACATTGCATATGTATTGCTTGAGACCTGCAATAGTCTCACGGCGATCCCATTCCCTTCATATCTCTAATAAATTGGAGTTGTACTTCATGATAGATAATAACAACGATAAGTATGACAAGGACAACGAGAAAAGCGACGATGATAGTTGTCGAGGAGATGAAGAGAAGAATACTTAAGGGCTAGTGAAGTCCAAGTATCTTGCAATGTTTGCGCGGACAATCATTAAGACGCGGCTGTTCTGTGCGTACACCTCACTCGGAGGAGTGCCTGCATTACAATGGGGCCAACTTTATGCAGTAATTCTTCAGGAAAAAGTAGGCTTAGATATACATCTTATGATAGATAGAGTAAGCCGCGTAGATAAGACTTCGCATATTGAAAAGTAGGAGCAGATTCACAGACCGGTTGCTGCGGCGTGCGATGTGGTGGGGACACGCACGATCGTGAGCAGTGAATCGCCCCACAAGGGCGCCTTCGTCGCCAACCACCATCAGCAATCAGCTTGCAATACATGGTCTATTAGTCTAGTTGGTTAGGACGTCGGATTCTGATAAACACCAGTTCCTTCCGTAAGCCCAGGTTCGAATCCTGGATGGACCTATCTTTTGCCTCCACGGCCAGGAAAAAATCGTTTTCTGGTTGAATTTGCTTTTTGTACTGTTTAATTTGCTCGCTCAACGAACAGCTAACTAGCTGGCATAAATGACCGTATTTTCGAGTTATTCACACAAGCCGTGTCCGTTGCCCGGCACAGTCCTGGATACATCGACCTCACTTTATTTTCGCTTAGACGAAAGCCTGGATGCCCGTGATAGCACGGCCAAGAATCAGACCTGTTCCATGTTAGCACATACTCAGAACTGGGCCACACGCAAAACTCACTGTGAATATCGCTCTGCCCCTCGTACGTCTGCGTGACGAACAAGTTCGCCACATGACGGCCGATACCATACTCATCACTGACCGCATTGCCGCCAAAGATCTCCTGCAGAACACGCGCATTCAACAGCGCGCGGTCGCAGTTCTGGCGCTTGACCATGCTAATCATCTCGGGCGTTGCCTTGCCTTCATCCTTGAGCCTTCCGACCTGGATCGCGGCGACAGTACCGTAAGCGGCATCCGTCGCGGCGTCGGCGAGCTTCTTTTGAACAAGTTGGTACTTTGCGATCGGGTTGTTCTTGAACTGCTTGCGCTCGAGGGAGTATGTCCTCGCGCGAGCGATGCAATCCTCCAAGGCTCCCATGACGCCCAGAGAGATGCCGTAGCGGGCGCTGTTAAGACAAGAAAAGGGACCACGGAGACCCTCAACCTCGGGGAACATGTTCGCCTCAGGTACAGGGCAGTCGTCGAGCTGGATCATGCCAGTGATTGAGGCGCGCAGACCGTTCTTGTTCTTGATGGCGGGGGTCTCGAGAGTTCCCGGTGGGCATTGGGAGCGCTCGACGAGGAAGCCACGGATCTTTCCGGTTTCCTGCAACTTGGCCCAGACCATGAGGACGTCTGCGATGGGAGAGTTTGTGATCCACGTCTTGGCTCCGGAGAGGGAGTAGTAGCCCTTTTTGGTCGGGTGAGGCTTCGCGGTAGTCTCCATGGAGCCGGGGTCGCTGCCGTGATTGGGCTCCGTCAAGCCAAAGGCACCGAGAACCTTGCCCTGGGCCATGCCGGGCAGGTATTTCTCCTTCTGCTCCTCGGAACCAAACTCGGCAATGCCGCCCATAACGAGAGAGGACTGGACTGACATGCCGGAGCGGTAGCCGCTGTCCACCCTCTCCACGGCCTTTGTAATGAGACCACCAGCAACGGTCGAGATGCCTGCGCAGCCGTATCCTTCAATCGTCGCTCCGAGAAGTCCCAGCTCGCCCATTTCCTCGAGGATCTTCTTGTCGTAGTTCTCGTCTCGGTAGGCCTCTACAGACTGTTAGAACGGGCGACGAGATTGGCAGCTAGGACACATACGAAGCACGCGGGGCAACATGCGCTTCTGGCAATAACGCTCGGCGGTCTCTGAGATGGCGAGTTCCTCCTCAGTCAAGAGGTTCTTCGCATTAAGGGGGTCCTCCCAGTCGAAGACAGGGCCGCTGGAGGAGGCGAATGACCTCGAGGCGGGGACGGCGCGTCTGGCGACGCATTGCCTTGCGCATGTCCTCAGGGCTGGTCGATACATGTTGGAGATTTGCCAATTGAGTCGTCCACAAGGTGGTTTGAGGGGAATCGTGTGAACAGCATGATGGCAGTGTTGCCGTTCAACTACCGACCCCGAGGCGTTGCCCCGCCGGTGGACGTCCCTCACACCATCCGAGGCACAAACTAGAGCTACTCTCATTGGCCGGGGAAGGCAGTATCATGATTACATAATGAGCCGACGTCGGCGAATGACGTCGTCGGCGACGTTGCTGCAGTGTCGCAGTGACAATCTGAACGAAGCTGCTGCTGGGTAGTGCCAGCCAGTTGCGGCAATGGTGCCTGCATATCTGTAATCAGTTCGGCGTGGTGACTGCGCACTGAACAAGAATTCCCCAGATCCCCAGAGTGCCGGCACCGTGGCTCTCGGGGGAGCACCGCCACAATATGCAGCAGCGAAGATCATGACAAGTGGATGAAGCCGAACCGTCAGTAGCAGTGCTGGGTGTCGACGCGAGCCGGGGAGATGCTTTCTGGGAGTGGCCCATCGTTCGGCAGCAGCCGGGTCAGAGTTCAGACCCAGGATGGGATACTGTGGGCGTGGTACCACTGCATTTAGACGTGTGTGGTGCCTGGAGGATGTACCGTTGTCAGTTTGAGAGCGACAGACGGACGTCATTTTCAGACTCGCGATGGGATGGCAGATGCATAGATGGGCTTTTGGGCAGTCGTGTCGAGGATGAATAGCCTCGCTTGACTGCAGTAAGAAGGACACGAGGTTTCATGCGACGCATGCTTTGGCGATGACACGATTCGAGGGTGTTTTGCTCGTGAGTGATGCGTTGTTAGGCGGTCAGATTGGGTCCAGGGTTGCCAGTCATGCCGGCCCGGAGGATCAAGAAAGTGTCTGGCGGACGTGAATGCCGCTGCTTCCACGGCTCTGCAGCAACTGGGACAGTTCGCTGAAGATGGCGGGCTGCGCTGCCGTGTCAGTCGCCTGCCAGTCGTGGTAGAAGGACAGGGAAGCACATGGTCGATTGCACGAGCCTGAGGCTGAGGAATGGGCTGAATAACTGGGACAGTCAGCAAGCATTACCAATCCTGACGCAGCAGGAAGTTGCCATCTGTTAGTGGTGCAAGTATCTCTGAAAGGCGTGTGTGGCGGTGCGCATGTTCCGTCCAGGTTCCCATTGCAGCGAAGCGCATCCACCAGATGTACCTGAGGTGGAAAGCGAGCACTAAAAACAGAGCACACGACTCTGAGGGACGAGCGTCATGACTGAAGCCAACCAAAGTGCGGTTTGTCGGGCGGCAAGCCCACTGTTTGTTTGGGCTGCATGACGCTACTGGACGGGCAGCTTCCTGCTGGGTTGGTCAGGCAAAGTACCTGGACTGTGGCTCAGGCAGTTGAAGGTACTTTCACTTCCGCCTGCGGCCAACCTGAGTGGAAGCAGCCAGCCAACCTTGGGTTTGCTCCCCCTCTACCTTAGGTACCTTACCTTGACTGATTGGTGAGTCGTGACTGGGCGGCAGGAAGGAGGAAGGAGGGGAAAGGCAAGCAAAGGAACCCCCCTCCTTCCAGTCACAGTGACTGACTGCCCGGTGGGCAAGAGTGGCTCTGCCCACTACCTTCCACTGCCCAAAGCAAAGCCCACCGCACACAGCAGCAGCGACCCTTCCCGTCGTTTTTCGTAGGCCCGACCGTGACTTCCCCTTCTCTTTCCTCTCCTCCACCCAAATTCAATCTCGACATCAACCTGTAACGGGAACGTACGTAGCGAATCGAATTCTCCACGACTTTCCTTCGGGCACCACCACGGTAATACCTCCGACCGACGACTATTTTGAACGACTCTCACAATCCAAATAAAAAGTCCTTTCTTTTCTGCATCGAGTCTCGGCGGGATAGACACTCTCGCTCATCAGGTACGCACGCTACGCAACACATGATTTGCATTCACTGTCCCCGTCCCAACCAACCCAACATCTCGCCACGCATCGGCTGCTGCTGCTGCTTTCATTGCTTCGACGACCGCGATATCCTGGTTCGCTTCACCCGATAGTCCTGCGGCATCGACATCGACGAATCCCTACGACGACTCTAGACCGCTGCCCGACGACAGAACACCCGCGAGGCTGCTTTGGCTTCTTTGTCCTCTTCTGCCTGCCTGCCCCCTCCTACGATCTGTGCATCGCCTGCATCGACTGCCTCGACCTACATCTGTCATTTTCCGCAGCAAGGAAAAGTAGCAATAAAGCAGCTCAGCCATAAATTCGCCAGCAGCAGTCGACCC